GATATCCGTTCGTTGTTTATTTTATTATTATTATTGTTTGTGTTGTTGTTTTAGCTGTGACTGCAACTGTTGAAATGATTGTTGGTGTTGTTGTTTTACTCAAGTGGTAAAGTGCGTTTGCACTTGAAATTGTCAGCAGGTGCTGAGCAATAGCAATGTATCTACAAAGGAAGAAAAATAGAAACAATTGCAACAATCGCAGAATTGTTTTATGGTCAATAAGGACTGAAATGAAATTGAATTCAATTAAGTTGTGCTCAAAGCTGATCCAAAAACTAACTGTTAAGGACATTTACAATTGGGATAAAAACAATTAAGTGCCATTATTTCTCAATGTGTAACATTTGCAATACGTAAACAAATATGCACTTGCTCACGACAGTGCATGCATAACCATTAATATTTTATTGTTTATATAATAAAAATGCAATTGCACTTAAGTGTCAGTATCGGAAATTGCATGGCATTTATTTTTCCAGGGTTGATGCCATTCATGTATATTTTATAAGCATGTTCATTTGTAGTATTTCTCTACTGTAGTAATATGATGTAATGCCTTTTGAGTTTTTACTGATTGATTGCAGTTTGGCATTTAGTTCATTTAAGCCAACACCTTTTTATGAATAAAAAACGTTTCCCATCCTAAAAATGAACACTCATTTCTAATAATTTTTTTAAACTTAAAAAGTAAAAATTAATTTAATTGAATGAAATCAATTTTTATTATAGATTAATTTATTTATTGTATCTTATCTTGCAGTGATATTAGCAATATGTTTATCTTAACATCAGTTACGAGGGCGGGTTGATAAGTCAGTGACTTTTTGAATAAAACAAATTTTTTTCGGCAATTAAACATTTTATTTTTCTACATAATCACCTTTTAGCTCGATACATTAAATCCAGCGTTTTTCTAATTTTCTTATATCCTCCAAATAATAGGTCTTCTTAAAGTTCTCAAAATACGCGTTTGTTTCGGTAATGACTTCTTCATTCGACTCAAATCTCTTACCGCCCAGCCATTTCTTTAGGTTTGGAAACAGAAAATAGTCGCAGGGGGCTAAGTCTGGAGAATATGCTGGATGGGGTAGCAGTTCGTATCCCAATTCGTGGATTTGGGATCGTAATGCTTAATCAGCACACGAAATTCAGTTTTTTCCATTTTCGTAAAAATTCACAGGGTTGTCTGCTTTAAATGGCTATCAAACACCAACTGAACGACGTAGCTTGCTCAAAATTAAAAGTTGCCCACTAAGCGGGAAATTCAAAACGTCACAGGCTTGTCAAACATCCCTCGTACATAATATTACAATTACTATTTTAGTTGTACAATTTTTTTTTTTCAATTTATAAATTATTTATTGAATCTTCCATTTAAAACCTAACAATAAGTAGGTGAAATCTTAAAATTAAATTTATTTTTTCCCTAGACCATTGCTTCGGAAAAAACTATTGAGAGATTAAATAATTCACAATAAAATTAGGTTGGAAATTAAAATTAAAATTAAATTAAAATCAAATTAAAAATCAAAAATCACATTTAATATAATCAAATAAATTTATATTAAAATATTATAAATTAAGTAGAGTTAGCAGATGTTAATTGTGCCCTTCGTTTTTAAACGTTTGTGGCCTTTATTCAGTAGGAGGTTATAAACTGCTTGGTTAGGGTGATCTTCTAACTCTAAAAGGTACTAACGGCTACATCGAGCAGATTCATCTATTACTGTTGGTCCACCCAAGTCTCTATGAAGGTTAGTATTTATAAGCCACAGTGCACCTGTTATTATTCTTAGGATTTTAGATTGCAGTGTTTGCAGTTTTTCGATATTTGATGGCATCGCTGTTCCTCACATTTGAATTCCGTAAGTCCATTTAGGATTTATTATCGTCCTGTATAGCAGAATTTTGTATTCAAGTGGTAGCTTAGATAACGTGCCCATAAGACAATGTAATGAACTTAGTTTTATATATATTTGTGTCTTTTTAGTCTCTATGTGTTTATTCCAGGTTAAACGTCTATTTAGATATATTCCTAAGTATATTCATTAATTGTAATATTGGGACAGTTTCTTAGTCTTAGAGCAAACGTTATGTGGGTGCATTTTTGTTCATTGACTTTGGTACGCCATGCGGATAACAATTGCTCGAGTTGGTGAACATGATTTTGAAGCATACGTTGTGCTTTTGCGGGGTTTTTGGGTGCACTTAGTATTGCTGTGTCGTCAGCAAATGTTGCAGTAAAAGAGTTTTCCGAAGTTTGCATGTCGCTTGCATACAGTATAAGTGCAATAGCGAACCTATTACACTTCCTTGAGGAACTCCTGCTTTGATAAGACAAGGTTCTGAAACAAAGCCTTTATATCTTAGACTAAAACTTCTTTTACTTAAGTAGTTGTTTAACAAAAGGTGAGTGTTGTAATTTCATGTATTAAGCCTTCATACCATACTTTATTAAACACTTGGGCTACATCTGTAAATATAGAAGTGCAGTATTGTTCAAATGAGTTTCTAACGAATGATACAATACGATGCACTTGTTCAATTATACTATGTTTAGATCTGAAGCCGAATTGATGTTCCGGAATTATTTCGTTAGCTGAGAGTATTGACATTATTTTTGCTATTAGCAGCTTTTCAAATATTTTTGATAATACTGGAAGGACGCTAATTGGTCTTTAAGATTCTACTTTGGTTTTGTCCTTCACAGTTTTAGGTATCATTACAATTTGTGACATTTTCCAAAGTTTGAGATAAACTGCTTCACCATTGCAACTGAGATGTTATCAGGTCCTATTGTACGATTGTATAATATAAAATGGAAGAGAAAAACTTTATATTACGAGCCTTATATAAATTACTTGGGCTAAGGTATATTGAGATCAATAATGGATTCTCTAAAAAAGTGAAAATGTTATTTCGTTTGGCTGCTTCATTTTGAATAATGAATGAATGATAAGTTATTTTTAAAGGAAAAATATTAGATATAAGTACATTAAGACTGAAAAGTTTTCGGAAATTCTCATTTAAAATTCGCGCGCTGTATATTTTTCGATATTTTAAGTTTATGTAGTTTGGCAGCACTGTCCTTAATTACTATGCCAAAAATGAGCTCGATCTGTCAGACAGTTCGTTTACGGCAGCTGTTGAAACCAGTTCACCTCAGTAGTGCGTTGCGAAATGTCTTCGACGGTCGTACGACCGTCCTGGAAGGCTTTGTACCACTCATAAACTTGAGTTTTCGATAAAACTGATTCCCCATAAGCCTTTTGTAGCATTCGCAACGATTCTGCACACGAAATTTCGTTCGAAACACAAAATTTGATGCAAACTCTTTGTTCAATATTTTTTTCCATTGTTTTTTTCGCAACGCCCTACTGAGGTGAACTGGTTTCAACAGCTGCCGTAAACGAACTGTCTGACAGATCGCGCTCATTTTTGGCATAGTAATTAAGGACAGTGCTGCCAAACTACATAAACTTAAAATATCGAAAAATATACAGCGCGCGAATTTTAAATGAGAATTTCCGAAAACTTTTCGGTCTTAATGTATAAGATTTCCGGCAAGATAAACGCTTTTTGTTAGCCTTTATATTTTTTTACTAATGGTATCGAACTCTATTTTAAGGAAGATCAAGAATGATTTGTAGATTTCGAAATATACTTCCATTTCTAATATACCATTAGGCGAGAATGATTGTTCTCAGTATTACTGACTTTGCTTCTTGAGAGAATTTTAACAATTGAAGCACAAGTATTATAAAATAACTAGATACAATAAGTCTACATAGCATATATACTTATACTTGGTATAAGATGGCCTGAAAGAATAAGAAATGAAGACCTGTGGAGTCGTACACAGCAAGCAACCGTTCCAGTTCAGATTGGTCACACACTTCGAAGACCTGCAAACCATATTGCAAAACCAGCACTCAGATGGAACACACAAGAAGGCATGGTGCACCAGCACACACATGGCGCAGAACTATAGGCAGATAACTTCATAATGCAATATATAACTGATATAATATATCCTGCGAAGCACCCAATAGAGTTAGGCTTAGATCTATGACAGAGACTCTATGCTCCACGAGGAGAAGAGGATAACCGTAAGTAAATAAGTCCATATTGGAATAAAGCCAATATTGTTATAAGACATTGGAAATATAGGTATACTCTTATTTTATTTATTTTTGTGACAACATGTGCTAGAATTTATACTGTTTGAATGAAAAATTGTGGAGAGTTCATCAATAAATAGATTATACATAAATACATTCGTTTGACATTACGAATCGATCTATGGTGTGATCAAAGTAATGACTCAAAAGGTCCGTTTTAAAGGCGTGTCCAATATATTATTTTGTTACGCACGCATCCACGGATCATTGTTCGATTGTATATCGCAGGTTGCGTTCGAGAATCAATTGAGTGTGATTCACAATTCCAATTTAATGAAATCCTTGATTTTTATAGCTACAAAGTCTAAATATATACTCATCATAATAAAATTGTACATATATGTCCATATAATATCATATTCAAATTTTAAACTAAAATTTTTTAAAATTAGTTGCGATGTTTTTTGATTACGTCCACAAATAGTCAAGATCTGTTCGTAGAAGTTATCTGACTTTGTTTAACAACACAATTCTCTAAAAGAGTAATACATTTCTGTTAACACTTTACTAATATTTTACTACAGTATTATAATAGGCTTCTGTTGCGCTAGTAACTTGTTCATGGTAACCAAATTTATAATCCTATAGCAATTAGAAAGCCACATTGGGAGAATATGGTGAGGGGAAATCTGATTCATATAGAATTTTAGTCGTTGTTGTAATCGACTTGAGGCGTGGTGCGTTATGTTAATGAAAGAGTATTTGTTCATGAATAAAATACTATACTTATAATTAATTTTTTAAAAACTAAGTAGACATATCATTTCTTTTAAAAGTACTTAAAAATATATTTAATAATCAGATTTTATTAGTTCGATGTATTAGTATCAGTTTTCTCTCCATAGCTGCAAAATCAAAATTCTTTAAAAAAAAATTATGCACGATATGAATACATAATTTGAGTTCAAAAAAAACTTTTTGGATTAAAATTAGTGTTTTTTAAATTTCATGTACTTTTGAACAAAATTGAATGTGTGGCACATTGTGGTGCAAAATTATTTTTTAAACCTGAAAAAGTTCTGGAGAGGAAATAGTTCAAAAATTTTTCCATGCAAAAATTTTCTTTTTCAGTGTTTATTTCGATGTTCAAAATAAATGAAAGTGGGACAGGATTTTGATTGAAACAAAAAGTTTTGCAAAATGGAGTGCTCTTCTTGTAGGAACCAAAAAATAAGCCCCATATCACCTCCGTTTGGTGGTTTTTTGTGTACTAATGGTCATATGAACTGTGTAACATGTGCAGATGTAAGTCCTGGCGTTTGCCCCATTTGTCATGCACTTGAAAAGTTCGTGGAACTTAGATTTACGACAGAAAACATAACCACTGAACCGACTCCAGATATTGATTTTGAATATATACCGAATGTAACAAAAGCACCAATCGAATTGTTAAATAGGAAAAGAGCGCCCGAACTTCAAATTGATGTGATACCAATTAAAAAGTCAAATTACACTAGTAAGGTTCCAAACTCAACATCTATGATAAAATCAATTTCTGACTACGATGTACGTAACAGAAAGCAGAACTTTGACTTCGGAGCGTTAAATAAATCCAAACTTATTACAAGTAGTCCTCCAAATATCAGTAAACAACGCGATGCATTAAGATCAAAACGCGAACAAGAAAGGCGTGCAATTACTTATCGCAAACCAATTCTCCTAACACCAGCTTCTAGTGTTGTAACCGTTTGTCACAAGGAGGATTACTTGAATGTTAGCAGAGCACGTATGGCTGCTAGAAGAGTTAAAGAGCAAAGGGGAATTCAGTTTTTAAAGGTATTTGCTTAAATAAAAATTTCTTAATGATGTATAAATAATAAATTGTGATAAAAAAAATGTAGGAGCGGTGTGAGAAAAGGGGAATACCTTACGATTTTAAGCTAACTGCTGAAAAGAGAGAAATAAAACCTCTTGGTTTGGAGACAAAGAAAACGGAAGATCAAAGCAAAAATGTTTTGGTAAGTAGGTGATGTATATGGTAACAATAAGTTACATCTCAAGTACATGATTTATTAGAATGCAGTTAATCGTTCATCGAGCTCGAAAAACTTAATTCAAAAAGCTGGTATTTTAAATAAAATTCTTGAGGAAAGCAACAAGAAACTCCAAGTTCGTGTTTTCTTTCATTTTATTGCTTAACATATTTGCATATAAATATTTCTCTCTTCTTACAAGTATACTAATTAAGACCACTGTTCTCTATTTATAGGCAAAGGATTTTGTAAATGACAATAAAAAACTTTCCGAAACAAGGCATACTGGTGGAACTTCCGAAGATTTAGTAAATTGATGTGCTTTTATACGTATAAATGAATAATAATAAACGAATTTTTTAGTCATATGAAAGGTATGTCGCTGAGACAATTGCAAGGTTTCCTCGTCTGATTAAACCGATTATTCCTGGTAGCCATCAAAGGAAAACTTCAGAAAATCTCAAAAAAGCAAGAGACATGGTATTTATGTATATATTTAAAAAAAAAATTACGCATATTCATAATTATGAAATAAATAGGTAAACAAAATGGTTGACAAAATGATAGCAAAAAATAAAAGTATTGAAACAGATGAGAACTCTGAACCAAAAAGCGAAACTGAAGAAATTTTAACAATATCAACTGAAGCAGCCGAAGTAACAATAATGTTAATATATATTAAATAGACACTCTCATAATTGTTTAATTATAGATGGAGAAAAACAAAAAACAAGATACATCATCTATGATAATAAAGAAGCAAAGCAAAGAGATTCAAAAAAAATTGGAATCGATTAGTGAGTCAATAAGAGATTCATTTGATAATCCAATTGAAGTCACGAAGACAGAATTAGATAAATCCAGTAAAAATGAAACTGAAAAGAAAACTCACGAAAGCAAGGATGTCGAATATCGTCCTGTTAGTGAAAAAGATGAGAATTTAAATATTTTTCATGTTGAAAATAAAAATGCGTTAGACTTAACTACAAAATATGACCAGGATGTAATTAATACAACTTTGAATGAAACTAAAGACGATTTAAGTACGAATTCTAGTACAAAAACTGAAGATGATCTCAAAAAAGGAAAGAAAAAGAAGCCAAAGGTTAGAATATAGTTATATATAAAATAAAAGTGAAAATGCACTTTATAAAATAAGGGTAGATTTTGGTCAAATTAAAAAATATGGTATGTCTCGATCTATATTTTAGGTACACGCATTTATAATAAGTGCACACAGAACTAATAAGAGTAGCTTATCTACTTTGAATATATTTTTTATAATTGTGTATTTAAATTATTTCAAAAACTTGATACTTAATAAATGGTAGGTTGGTAGTGTTGGCTATTTATGAGATCACGCTTAGATCTGAAATATCTGTAGTTATATCAAATTTGATTTTTAAAGGCAGTTAGTGATGATACATGTTGGTTTATATGATTGTATCATTTGTATAGAGTTTATGAGATAGTTCAGTATCAGCGACGAAGTTCAGCCCTTCAAGATTTGGGTTAAATTGAAGCTGAATATATTATGAATTTATACGCATAAATATTGTTTGATTTTGTTTTTCATATATCTATTCGTATATATTCTTGATTTTAGGAAAAGCAATCCGATTTAAGACATGTTGGTGGTGGCGTGGAATCAAGTTCTTCAACACAAGATTTGAGCGATGATAATACAGTAATATATTTAATTACAAGTAGAAATATAATTGTACGTACAGTTATTTTATTAGGAATCATCAGCTACGACGGTTATAGATCGTAATAATCCCGAAGTACCAAATGAACAAAATTGTAGTAAAAAATCGAAGGAAACCGAAGAAACTGTATGAGATATAATTGTATTGCATATAACTTTCTTAAGATTTTATATTTTACATATGTTTTAGGAGAGTAAAAGTAAAATACCAAAAAAAAGTCGTTCTACTTCTAAAGCATCTAAAGTCAATTCTAGTAAAGAAGTCATAGAAAGTGATACTGGTAAAACAAGGAAGACGAAGACTACTGATAGTAAGTCGAGTAAAATGCAAGGAGAACGAAAAGGTTTAAATGCAGATAAGTTGCAGGTATGCTATTATTATGCGCTTTCATAAAAAATTTGTAAATTTCAATGTACTGAAAAAAAAATTAATTTGAACGGCTGAACAAAACAAAAAAGAGGATGTCTTCCAGTATATTATCATCGAATTGTTGTTTCTATAGACACATAAGACCAATATTGAATGCATCGGAATAATTGATAAATCTGTTGAAATAGTTATGCAAGGAATTATTTATTCTGTTGTGGACATAAACATCTGGTTAGGTGACAGGAATTTGCATAAATGGTTATTATACAATAATTTTGAAAGCTTATATTTGATTTGTTCAATTTTTATTTATTAATTGAATAAATTGTACAAAAAATAGTTCTGTTGGGAAGGCATATCGGTAGAAAAACAATTAATAAGTGAATATGACGATGCAAAAATTTTGCCTTTAAGATTAGAATCATTATTAATATTAGTAGAGACGAAAATTACCGCAACCTATTATGGAATAGATTATGGAATTCTTAAAGAATGTATTACCCTCAGGTTATTATTGCACCTAACAAGATCCCTTGGTGTTCAAGATTGAATATCTAATTTGTTTCAATGGAAACCGATTTCGGACTCTAAACCTATCTTTTACAACCTTTGAAAATGGGCAGACAGGTGTTAACAGGATGGATTTTATTAAATTTTGTATATGTCAGTGTTATTTCATTCCATATTTGGTTGATTATAGTTGGAAGTGATTGTTTGTTTCAAGGAACTGACGTAAGTTTGTAAATAATTAAAGTTTGAGTGCAGTAAGTATTAGCGGTTCCAGCAATATTGTGATTTGTTCGCAAATTTTCAAGAAAGGTTAATGAAAATTATAATACAGTTGAAGAAAACTAAATTCTAAACTCTTTACGATAAATAAGTAAATAAGTATCTATTGAAGATAATTAGGATAGTTGATAACAAAAATAAAAAGTACGTAAAATACTTGTAGTGGTCAAATGGTTTTCATACTGTTGGACTGTGGTTAATTAAAAAAAAAGTGATATTCTTAGAAAGTTTGATCTGTTTAACTCCAACGAAATGGTGTTGATATGTGAAACGAAGAACAAACAAGACACAGTAGTACATGAATCACATTAAGTATCAAATATACTTGTCGTCGATAAGTTAAGTTACGTTCAGAAGGCGCGTGCTGACAGTTGTCACCACTTCCACTCGGAGGCCAATTGTGATGCCCTCAACTATTTTTGCCAGGAGAGGCGAGTTCCTATCCTTTGTTATCCTTATTAAACCATTTGGTTTTCCAGATAAAGTTAAGGAGATCCGATAAGTTTGCTATCGTTATCTCTTCCAAGCCAGTATAAAAGCCTTCCCCAAGACATTGAAGTCACCTTGTTTTCAGTGCTAGCCATCTCATCTGTTAGTTTATTCCCTTCTATAATGCTATATCCAGTAACTCTGCAAACAGAGACTTTGTTATGTTTGATGCTTATCAGTAAAGCGCGACATTTTAATACAATTTTGGATTTAACCGTTTTAGATTCAATTGCTTTCAGTACCGCCTGACTATCTACAAGAATCATGATATTCGAAGAATGAATTGTACTTCATTGTATAAGGTTGGACTGCCTTCTCTGTCTAGCTGCTTGTACTGTTATCCATCTTTGAGCCATCTGTGAGAGAGCTATCTGTCACAGATTCAAGATCCCAGCTACCTCTGGTTGGATAAAGAGTGGAAATTCTGGTATTGAAATCTAGTATTGGTGACATGTAGTCTGTAACAGAATCTAAATCCGCGTTGACTGAGCCGCGGCTAAATTGCATTTTTTGTTCAACGTCTGTCATCAGACGAGGGACCTGTAAATAATGATGGGTCTGATGATCGTCATGTACATTCCATAGACTACGTACGCTGACAATTCCCATCGATTCCCATAAGTCTTCTTGCAGTCTTCGTGGAGAGTACTTTCTACCGATATACCTTTTCGGTATGCGTGTTGTGTGATGTCCATTGTGCGGATACTGATCTTTCCTCTAATATACAAGTTATTTTTTGCAGCAAAGTGATTAAGCTGTTTCGCTTTCGGAATAAAAAGCACCCTAACTTAAGTATCTTGAAAAAATGTGCACTAGATGAGGAAATACGCTTTCGGTGTTGTAACATGACAGGTATGATTCCATTTGGTCCCGACGATTTGTAAGGATTGAAAGAAGATTAATTGCCCAAGTAACTATCTCTGCTTACAATATTTACGACGTCAGTCCTAGCTGCTTGAACAGGATTTAACTGTGATTCACAGCCAATTAAGTTGGTGCAGCCTGGAAAGTGTGTCATCATTAAAATATTAAGGGATTCCTGACTTGAATCTATTTATGAGCGTCTGGCGTTTTAATACTTGCTAGAGCTGTTAGATCTCTTCTTGCAGGCTGCTCCTTGCCTTCTTGAAGAGTTTAGTGGTTGTAGTTCGCATCAAAAACTAGATTATCACTTTCCGTCTTCGTTATTGCCGTCATCAGCCGCGCCTTAACAATGTGCCAACTCTTAGGCGATATTTTCCCATCAGGGTCAACTTTGTTTATGATGGATACTTGCAGCGCTATTGGTGACTCAAAAGGTGTCGAGGGATTTTGGCTTTTTTAAATCTTTATGTGTCTCTTTCTCAGACCGTGCTCTCTTTGTAGCTTTGCCCGAAGAAGAGGAGGGTAACCTTGCAGAATATCTTGCGGGTTTGGTTTTTGGTGGCAGCTGATCTTGACTACCTCAATGGATCCACTTTACCTTTAGTTGAAGCGATATCGTTAATGGATTTTGCTTCGAGTTTAGCTTGTCCTTGTTCTGCTGATGAGGAAGCTGTGTCGGGATTCTTCTCGAATTTTGATGCAGTATTTTCATGCTTCCTGACTAGATCCTTCTTCCTCTTTGTGAAGAAGTTGGAGTCTAGTAGATCGAGCGTCTGTAGCCATTTTTGGGCTTCTGCTCTCTTGCAACTACTCTCTGCGACTCCATTCCCGGCATTAAAGCCTTGTATCAGGAGGTCTGAGGAGGATCAAATAGCAATTTCTTGATATCTAAACTGATGTCATCGACGTTGCTAGCCTGTGATAATGAGTCATCGTCGGTTGCTGCATCCATGCGTAAGTTCAGAAATCGAGATCTGATTTGATCTCCTTCAGCCTCCCCCTAAAATTTTACCCAGTAGTCTTTGAAAATGCTTGTGTAGTAAAATATTCATATAATACATAAACAATCAAGAAATTTAAGAATTTTAGTTAATCAAAATAAAATTGATTTAAATCAAACTGTCTGTGAAAAATTAATATTACTTAAAACTTTAAAAAAATTTTTTTTAGTTAATGTAATTTTCATTTATATCATAGGTATCAAAGGCAGAGCATACAAAATCTACAACACAAAAACGAAAACCTAAAATTATCAAAGAAGAAGATAATTTGAAATTAGGTTCTAAAGCGACGGGAATTAAAAGTAAAGGCGTAAAGTCAAAAAAAGACGACATAGTGGGCAAGAGATCTGTAATTAAAAAATCCGAAGTTTATGAAAAACTAATGGTAACAAGATTCGATTTTTTAACATTAAAAATATTTTTCGAGAAGTCATCAACTAAAATTCATTTTGTTATTATTACTCGTAATATTTTTGAAAGATGCTTATTTTTTCTTCTATCCTAATACTTAACGCAACTTATTTGTAAATCTAATCTTGATGTTTTAAAATTTGTTCCTGAGCTGGTATTCGAAACAAGGATATCATGTTTTAGCAATGCAAGAGCATTACATACTTAACCCATAGCCGATGTCTATAGATATATTTGTTATTTAAAGATGTATATTTTAAGTTTATTATACTTATATAAACTTATTTACCGCCTACAAATATGTTGCTAAATCGAAATTTAATTTTAAAAAATGACTACAGTTTTAAGATCTGTTTGAAATATTTTCGTAAATGGTGCTGAGTTTTATTAAAATTTATTTGACTATTTTCTTATCATTGACTTAAAAGGGGGCAGTTCTTCGAAAAACAGGAATTGAAACTAGCGATGAGGTAAACTCAATTATATTTAAATTTTTTTAAAATATGTTATTAATAAATTTTTGTTCATTAAAACAGAAAATAGAGTCCCCAGCCAAACCACGCAAAACCCGCGCCAAGGGAGGACAGAGCAAAGATGTTGATGGCATTAAGGTAAGTTCAAATAGTTGAAATAAATTAAACATATGATGTATTTAATCAAAGAAATTTAAATTTAATATACATATAAAAAAAATATACAGAAAAAAGACAAATCTCCATCGAAGTTGAATAGCTCAAAGAAAGGCTCGATTCTCAAAAAGGCTGATGTAAGTTTAATGCATGACATTTAGAAATCAAATTATATTATAATATTGTATAATTTTATAATCTAATAACTTAATGACTCAGTCTGAATCAGCTCCCACTGATAAAATCGGTAATTATGAGGAAGACTTTGAACAAAATCTTGAAAAAGCGAAAAAAAAGGCATATATTAGCATTTTAAAACCTGAACCTGATCCAATTTCAAAACGGAAACGTGTAGCTAAAAAGGTCTCGTTTTTAAATAAAGATACTGTATATCATTTGAAGGTAAGAGACCAGTCTTAACGACTGACTTTGAATAATACGTTTCTTGCAGGCTAAGACCAAGACCGTTCGCGTATCAAAAGCTGCTAAAGTAACGGAGTTACCAAAGGTAAATACATAACTATTTTAAATATTTAAATTATTTGAATGCTCATCTCTAATGATGTGGTTTTTTAAAATGAGTTTTTAAAAATATATTATATACTTATAATCTTGTGGACACTTAAATCATAATTTTAAATATATTTTTTATATTACTTCAATTTTTGTGTAATATTTTTTCAATATGAATTGTTTTGCATATTACAATTTTTATTTACTATTTTAAAAAATTAGTGAGATTTGATTTTGTACAAATAATATATATGTACTTGTTTTCAAAATAAAAAATAATTAATAAATAAACTCTTCTAAATGAAATTTTAATTTGTTTTCAGGTGAAAAGTAAAATCAAACCTCTTGTCTCGAAGGTAATAAAGTAAAATACTTGTTAAGTAATTTTTAAAAAAATATTAATTATAACATTAAAACATATAAATTTTAATTTTTTTGTGTACATTGATATCACACTACATTATTACAATTACAGAACTATTTTATTTGTACATATGTACTTGCAGTTTTTCAAAATTATATCTATTTGTAATCTTTTTTTATAGTTTTCTATATATCCGGTTAGGAGTACGTTTGTGAAATATCATTTACTAATTGCTTTCGATATTTATTATGAATGACTTAAGGTCTTTAAGCATATTCCGTTATTATATGTTAGTTGCTAGAACTAAAGGTTCTTAGTACTACCCATGATAAGAAGTAAGAGTTATCATCTCTTAAAATTAAGTGTTGGTATTATAAGCTGGATACATAATAAAATATTTGTAGGAATAGGTACAGCATATATAGATAAATGTAAATAAAAAGCTTATGTTAAAAGTTTAGCTCAATCAAATATAAGCTCCATATCAAGCTAATAAAAAAATAAGCTTAATCAAAATATTCCAACAGATTTCAACTAAAGTATTAAACTAATCTAAAGATTTAAATGACTTAATATATTTTTATATAGAAACAATCGAAAACATCATTGAGACATACAGGTGGAAGCACTGCATCAGATGAGTCATCACTTTCGGATACCACTGAAGAAGTATGAATTAAATATCTTAAAATAATTAGAAGGATAATGTTAATAGATTTGTATCAAAAGTTAAAATTTTAAAATGATAATTAGCATTCAAAAATATTAAATATAATATATATAATTACAGAGTACAAATAACAGAAATCTTTACCAATATACAATTTTAAAAGAGACAGATGGTTCAAAGGTATATTCTTTACATCGCCATTTAACAGAAAACTGATATTTTATATTTTATTTATATTTACATTTATATTTATATTTATATTTATAATTTCCTTCTAAAAACTACTATTAAATTTTGATTTAAATATATTTCATGTAGTGTATACTTCAAGCCATTAGAGATCCAGCAACTACTGAACCAAGACGCTCTAAGGTACAAATAATTTTAGGCGGTACTCCTGCCTAATACAACGCAGTTTATATTCAATTTAAAATTAACAATTAAGTAATAAATACTTTCTGCTCTATTTATAGTCTAAACAGGAAACAACAGAAGATTCAAAAAAATCTACACGCTTAAAGGTAAGAAATGTTTAAGTAGCGGTCCGTTCAAGTAATACACTGTACTCTGTACAATGTACTCTTATAACTTTTTAATTTATAGCTTCTCAATTTATATGTTTTCTCCCCGATGTAACATTATCTCATATATTAAAAGTGTTTATTTATCATCATACTGGTATTATTACTTCCTATATCTATCTATATGATCCATGTCCACACCAGAGAACTGCAATAAGTACTCAACACTCGAATTGTATTCGAATCATTGACCGTGTTTCATTTATATGCATTCAGATTCTCTTTTTCGTATATTCGACTGCATCTGATTCATGCGTACAGCTGACAACGCTTATCCTATGACACTTATAAACACCTACATTTGATACAAAAATAATGCAAGTGATTTATGAATCGTTCATGAGTATTACTTTACAGTCGGCAAAAATTTGCCTGTGTTGAATACAGTGCGTATAATTTCCTACTAAAACAATCCACCATTAGGTCAGCGCTGAAAAAGTAAGCGAACAGGTAATAGCTCTTCGTTTTTATTTTTCTTTGCTTTCGACATTTGTGTTCGACATAGGCAAAATCGGGGTTGAAATTATAAAAGAATGAAGAATAAAAGCATATGAGTATTAAGAATTTCTTGTTTTGCCTGCATTGTATACATTTAGTATGTTTTTGATTTTAGTGAAGTGCGTCATATTAGTGCAGTGAACAATTTTTAACTTATATAAGCAATCGAATACCTCAGCGCTGAAAGACCCGCTGGGATTTTTTGCTTAGCAAACAACAGTATTTACACAAAGTTTTTACTAATGCTACAAGTGATCGAGTCATTCATTTACGATGAGTACATCCATAATCACCTGAGTATATGCTATGATTCATGAATCATTTGTCATTTATGCTATTCTACTTAGAAATGTGTACGTAATCTTGTGCAGCTGATTCATTAGGATCGGCATTCGTTAACGAATATACTTATGAATCATTTTGAAGTCGAGTCTTTTGTGTATGTATATATAATGTATTTTTTATGTACTCTAATATACATATTGGTGTCAGTATTGATATAAGGTCCAGCTTACATTGAGCGAATCTTATCGCTCAGTATTCATTCAAGTACTTATCGTAAACTGTATACATGTTTAATAATATATTATAATATGAATCAATATACGAAATAACCCTTTTACTTCCATGTTATATTTTATAACAAATTCCGCAACTGGGGCACTTTCCCCATTACAAATTATTTAAACGGCTCCTATAAATAAACATTATAAAAAAGACAAATCTAACAACGATTAGGCTCACTGAATATAATTTTTATTAAAGGATGAAGCAGTCGTATATCACGATTTAAAAGATATTTCTTCTATATTTTGATAAATCAACATTTCTTCAAGCCATTGATTTTCAGATCGAAATAAAGATATTGATTTATTTACTGATAATCCTTAGATTCAACAGTAGGATGGACAGTTGTTAAGCTCTAAGTATAGTGACAGTCGTATAAACAATATCAAAGTAAATAGATAAGATATTAGCATTAAATTTAATTTACTAAATATACATCCTCATTCATGTGTATTTAAAAAGTTATGTGTGGGTAAGCACACGTCTTGGCCATGATATCAAGTTCAAAGAGGACAAAATTTCATCATTTATATTGTTCGAATTTTTTTTTTATCATTCCCTACTCATTCATTTTTACGTAAATATTTAAACATATACAGTAATCCCCTCTATAACGCGGTAGATTGGTTCTACGTTATACGAAAACGTGTTATAGGGGTATTCCCATATACCCCGTACACACATGCGTAAAGCTATGCGAAGCTAATTATTATATGGCGGAATGTCCTTGTTATACGGGGGATTGAAATCGCGTAATATGAAAACGCGTTATAAGGGAGATTACTGCACCTCAAAGTGGTTTTATAGTCTTCATTTCACCAATTTTCGTATAGGTCCGTTTGATGTAATTATAATATTTTTGTTTTAGTCAAAAACCAAAACAAAAAAAGGAGACTCTGATGATAAACGTGGTACTTCTGTAAAGGTATGTTCCTCAATTAATATGTAAAAATATACTTTCACAAATGAATAAAACAAATATTTTTATTGAAGTAGATAAAAAATAAACGTCTTAAACTCAATAACAATAATTTGAGTTCTCAATATGGGATCTAAATCTAAATTGTAAAATGAGTTAAAACTTATAGCAGAATTGCTTCTGAATTTTACAAATTAATTACTAATTACAGAACAAAAATTATGTTGCTAATTTAAAACATAATAACACGATCTTTAACACTTTCTGGCAAGGCTAGGAATATAATAGAAATCATTCAAGGAATTATGACCAATTAATTATAACATAGGTTCCTGTTTAACATACATTAGGCATATAACATAATACATATGATTATCACTTAAATAAACACCCTGATAATGATATATAAGGGTGTTATATATATGAAAATCTTAAGACTCATTTGATATTATTATTGAATAGTTTTACTAACAAAATCCGGTTCAGAATTTACAATAGCTGATGCACTCTTATTCAAACACTTTCATTGGTTTAATTGACACCATCACAGAACTTCTCCAAGAGTTACAAAAAGTTATCCTACAAAAAGTTCATAGTCTTCAAAATTTAGGCCAAGTCATTGATTCTGTAACTGATAATTATTCAATATTTTTAATTTTTCCTTATTAGAAAAATTGTATCTATTTAAATTTTAATTATTCACATTTTTTGGATTTAAAATAATTTACAAAAAGAGTTTATAATAATACTAAAATTATGCTGAATCAAATTCGAAGTGCATATCAAAATGTATAATTTAAAAAAAGTGCGCAATTCAGATTTCTCGACCGCGATTATAGTAGAAGAAGGATAATAGATGACTCAAGCTATATGTCGATTTAATTCACTTTTAATTGTTTACCTTCTACAACAACTGGAAATAACAAGTAAACGTGTCTGAGAAATTGGAATTGTGATAAAAAAAAATTATATCTGGTGTAAAATAGTAATATTTTTTTTTGAACCAGGAGTGTGGATTAGAAGGGGCTTAAACCCTTCTGTTTATACGCCTCTCTATAATATATTAAATTATTTCTTTTGAATTTTCAATATAGTCTAAAACCGAAGAAGAAGCTCCCAATCGCAAAGTGAAGGGTTCGAAGGTGAGATAAATAGCATAACTTATGTTTATACGCCTCTCTATAATATATTAAATTATTTCTTTTGAATTTTCAATAAAGTCTAAAACCGAAGAAGAAGCTCCCAATCGCAAAGTGAAGAGTTCGAAGGTGAGATAAATAGCATAACTTATGTACTCACTTAGAGTTCTCAATTTTTTTTTTAGTTAAAAGCCAAAAAAACAAAAGACGAATCCGATACGGTAAGGATTTCATAATTAAATACTAATTGCAATGCTTATAGATTTTGGGGGTATGTTTCTTCAAGATTTCTTTTTCATTTTATTTTTCTTCCTTAAGATTAGGAGGAAACATATTTGAAATGTTTCCTATATTAAAATTAGAAAACATGAAGTTATCACAAAGAAAATGGTCCTTGTCAAATCGATATGAGTTTTTGTCATTTCTTGAAACAATGATTTAATTCTCATATTTATGACACGTCATAAACAAGTCCCTGTACATTATACAATTTATTTAATTTGCTTTTGATCCGTATCTATGACTTCAGTAACGATTTGATTGCCTCATGATGTTTTTCTTATTACAGCCAAAACCTAAGTCAATTCAGAAGCGAATAAAGCTGAAATCAGATGAACAACCTTCAGGCTCCACAACGGTAAGCTATTTAAATAACTTATGTCCTTTGTGATAAATCATATATAATATTTGTATTTCTGGTTTTCATAAAAAGGAAACCTCTTTATGAAGATAAGGTTTCTATGAGAAGTTTATGTTCATACCATACAAACTTAAAGCTTTATATAGATTAGGTTTCAAATCTTTAAACCGGAATTTCTTCGTTTCGATTTTCGTTTCGCTCGAAATGAAAAAAAATATATCGGTTCGGTTCCGCTTTTGGCTCCGATAAAACTAACGGGTTTTTTCAGTTCGGTTCCGGTTCGAAGCCCTGAATTTTTTCTGTTCCAGTTTTCGTTTCGGTTCAAAGCAAAAAATATATCAATTCGGCTCTGGTTTTCTGGTAAAATTTTTTTTTGTACCAGGAGGCTGGGTTAGAAGGGGCTTAAGCCCTTCTGTTTATACGCCACTCTATAACATACATAATTATTTCTTTTGAATTTTCAATGTAGTCTAAAACCGAAGAAGAAGCTTCCAATCGCAAAGTGAAGGGTTCGAAGGTGAGATAAATAGCATAACTTATGTACTTAATTAGAGTACTCATTTTTTATTTAGGTGAAAGCCAAAAAAACAAAAGACGAATCTGATACGGTAAGGAATTTTTATAGATTTTGGGGGATAAGTTTTTTTAAGATTTCCTTTTCATTTTATTTTTCTTCCTTAAGAGTGGGGGGAAACATATTTGAAATGTTTCTTATATAGATATGAGTTTTTGTCATTTCCTGAAACAATGATTTAATTCTCATATTTATGTCACGTTATAGACAAGTCCCTGTACATTATACAATTTGTTTAATTTGCTTTTGTTCCGTTTCTATGACTCCAGTAACGATTTGATTGCCTCATGATGTTTTTCTTATTACAGCCAAAAACTAAGTCAATTCAGAAGCGAATAAAGCTGAAATCAGATGAACAACCTTCAGGCTCCACAACGGTAAGCTATTTAAATAACTTATGTCCTTTGTGATAAATCATATATAATATTTGTATTTCTGGTTTTAATAAAAAGGAAACCTCTTTATGAAGATAAGGTTTCTATTTGAAGTTTAAGTTCATACCATACAAACTTAAAGCTTTATATAGATTAGGTTTCAAATCTTCAAACCGGAATTTTTTCGTTTCGATTTTCGTTTCTCTCGAAACGAAAAAAAATATATCGGTTCGGTTCCGCTTTTGGCTCCGATATAACTAACGGGTTTTTTCAGTTCGGTTGCGGTTCGAAGCCCTGAATTTTTTCTGTTCCAGTTTTCGTTTCGGTTCAAAGCAAAAAATATATCATTTCGGCTCTGGTTTACTGGTAAAATTTTTTTTTGTACCAGGAGGCTGGGTTAGAAGGGGCTTAAGCCTTTCTGTTTATACGCCACTCTATAACATATATAATTATTTCTTTTGAATTTTTAATGTAGTCTAAAACCGAAGAAGAAGCTTCCAATCGCAAAGTGAAGGGTTCGAAGGTGAGATAAATAGCATAACTTATGTACTTAATTAGAGTACTCATTTTTTATTTAGGTGAAAGCCAAAAAAACAAAAGACGAATCCGATACGGTAAGGAATTTTTATAGATTTTGGGGGACAAGTTTTTTTAAGATTTCCTTTTCATTTTATTTTTCTTCCTTAAGAGTGGGGGGAAACATATTTGAAATGTTTCTTATATAGATATGAGTTTTTGTCATTTCCTGAAACAATGATTTAATTCTCATATTTATGTCACGTCATAGACAAGTCCCTGTACATTATACAATTTGTTTAATTTGCTTTTGTTCCGTCTCTATGACTTCAGTAACGATTTGATTGCCTCATGATGCTTTTCTTATTACAGCCAAAAACTAAGTCAATTCAGAAGCGAATAAAGCTGAAATCAGATGAGCAACCTTCAGGCTCCACAATGGTAAGCTTTTTAATTAACTTATGTCCTTTGTGATAAATCATATATAATATACTAAGTTATACTAAGTTATATACTAAGTTGTATTTCTGGTTTTAATAAAAAGGAAACCTTATTATGAAGATAAGGTTTCTATTTGAAGTTCACGTTCATACCATACAAACTTAAAGCTTTATATGGATTAGGTTTCAACAAGGGCTTCAAACCGGGCTTCAATCGTTCGAAACGATCTGCTTTTGGCTCCGACAAAAATAACGGCTTTTTTCAGTTATCGGGTCGGTTCCGGTTCGAAGCCCTGAATTTTTTCCGTTACAGTTTTCGTTTCGGTTCAAAACAAAAAATATATTATATCGGTTCTGATTTTCGCTCTGACAAAAATATCGGTTTTCGCTTTGGTTCCGGTTCGAAGCCCTGGTTGCGACTGATCATAAAAATTAGGTTGAACACAGCATTGTTTTATTTCGTTAGTTTTGTTTATAAAAAAACACCCTTAAACAGAGAATGAAAAACATTTTCGCACATAATTTTATATAAATGCATATTGCATAAATTGTAGAAAAGTTTTTTTAAAAGAGCTTTTTTCAAAATAATAAGAGCCTGTTCAAAAATAATCCAGATTTTTTAATATACTATATATCTTCTTAAGCCCCTAACCCTAAGACTGTTATACTGCTGGAACTTACACAGACAGACCCTGTCTAAAAGGAGTCTTAACATTCTTTTCTTAAAATTTTGAAAAGGATTAATCAAGTTTTCTATAGATAGCGTTTGATACCGCGTTAAAAATTATATACTTGAAAACCAATTTGTATCTAGTAAAGTAAGTTCCAGCACGTTCCAGCTATAATATATAAAATTGAATAAGGAGTTATATATATTAACATATTGTCGTGGATTATATCGTAAAAATTATTACAAAAATGTTACATCTTAACATTGTCAATTGTCAAGTAATTTATGTTGAGTAAACCAAAAGAAAATAAAGAAAATAATAATAATTTATTCTCTTCTATTAAAGGAAAAGGGCGAAAAGAAAGAAAAATCTCCTGCTGTCAAACGTAAATTGTCGAAGGTAAGATAAGCTGCTTAATGAGTCCTAATAATAAAAGGGATGTAATTACTGGTTTTTAATATAAAGATAAATAATATGAACAACATCTCCATGAATAAAGTAAAACTAAATATATTTGAGGCCACCATCTTAAATGAAAACTAAAGCATTTTGTTTCGAGCCGGGTCGGATTAAGTTTCGTTGACTGATAATGTCTGGCAATGAGTACTATATATATACATTTAAACTTAGTGACACCAATTAGGAATGTATTTAAGACCGCCATATGATTTTATTCAGTGATTGTAAGGAGAGACTGTAATTGTCATTTAAATGTGTCTTAAATATTAATTGCTTCCATCGAACATTTTTTTAAATGTTCCATTTGTATTTAGACAAAACCGGCCATGTATGAATGGCGTACTGGTAGTGCAAAGCTCTTTTTGTTTTTGTTTCTGGCTCTGCAGTTGTAATTTTCGGCCATGCTAATTTTGAAAACATGTTAAGTTAGCACGCCAATGAATACTTTGCAATCCTTTTCAATGAGGAAACTTTTGGATAACACCTAAGTACCTAGTCTTGAACACCTTACGGTTGTTGAAAGTTTAATATCTGTTATACTTCAGTTAAAGAGTGTTTAAAATCGTTGCATACTTCTGTCGACATACATATCGATCTAAATGCCTTCAGTCAAGTATTGTCGGCTGACTAAGTTTATCTATTAGACCTTCCAAACCTTTAAGCTTGAAGCATGTGAAATTTTGACTACGTTCTGTACTGTGAGCTATTTTTTTGCTCAAATGTTTACAGACAACCTTTTGCATAATTTATTGTTTGATCATTCTAGAGATTCTTTGCAACTATTAAAATTATGATAACTCGCAAGACTGCGTGATAATTAGTTGTGAATATTAAACTATTCTAATTATTTCTAATTCTATCTTTAAGCTTACTATGGAAAAGTTGAAAGCTTTGCTTACTGATGGTTAAACAGAATTCTAACCGAAGTATTATCTTTGTATAGGTTTAATCTATAGGTTTAATTAAATATTAATAATTAATATTAATTAATTAATTAATTAATATATTAATCTGCTTCTAGTGGTTAATTTTAAAATATTTTACTGTGTAAGACTCAATTTCTTATAAGAGGTAAACCTTAAGATAGTTTTGGGTGCCTTTAAGATTTGATGACGGCTACCGTTTATTTTAACAATCTAATACTAATTAATTATTTTACGAATATGTAACGTTTATGTGCATTTTACGCTTTATAATAATTAGTTAACAAAATATGAAAAATTAATATAATTGTTATATTTGTTCTTTATTTAGTTAAAAACTAAAACAGAAATGACTGAAGATAATGAACCTCAAACGGTAATTGCATTTGAAATATGAACTATAATGAAATGAATAATAATTAATTATATATTAACATTTAATTATTTGAATATATACATTGAGTCTTATATATATATATACATATACTTTACATATATGTATATATTTTACATTACATATTATATATAAAAATATTGATTTATATTTTATATTATCATTTCATAAAATTCATTTGAAATGATGAAATCAAATATATCCTAAAATATATCTTCATTATATAAAGAAAAAACAGTCCTTGAAAAACAAATCGGTTACTCAGAAGACAAGTAAAGCAGTAGAAAGCAATAAAACCGAAAAGGAAAAAAAAGAACAAAGGTAAAAATAGATAAACAAAAAAAGAAACTTATTAAATAATCTTAAAAAAAAATGAGATATATTACATATATATTGTATAAATAATATTAATTTTGAGTTTTTATTTCTTAGGCTGTATAAGAAAAAGGAATCCACTGCTAACACTGCTAAACCAACTAACAAGGAATAACCTAACGTTTAAGAATATTTAATTTAAGTTTATTTGTTTAGATTTTTTGTAGTTTTATTATTCGATTATATTTTTATATTTATCTACTTAACATATTATTTAACACCATGAAATATGTGAATTTCATGCTTCTGATACACCGTCATCATAAAAAGTAAATATCCGAATGAGTCCTGATTAGTGGCAGCATCACATTGATTGAACATATGCTGTAAATCACGTCTTATTGATCTATAGTGACTATACTTATAAAATATAGGTGATATTTTATACAATAATTTACACAAACTTACAATGCAAGCGGCTATCTATTCAGTACGAGCAGGATGAAATCAAAATATATCTGACAGATTCAAAAATTGTTAAAAATTCACAAATCCCAAATCACCAAATCCACAAAAAACAATAAAGTTCATTATTTTAAAAGAAACAATAGAACAACGACTTCTCATTCAATCATTTTTGGTAAAGGATTTATTTTAATATAAAATATATATTAGTAGATATAATGGATTCGGGCAAGATTCCCATTTTTGAAGTAAGTTTTTCCACTCCGCTATATTTTCACATTCTACATTCTAACAAAAACCACACCAACTCATATATATTAATGAATATATGTGTCAACTGGTTTTTATGTAATTTCCAATTTTAAACCTCGATGTCTCAAGATATCGAAACTATATTGCCATATGTTACAACGATGTAAAGGAAGTTGCTTAAAATAGGTACCATTCTTTAAGTTACTGTCCGTACGATAACTAATGTTCGTTTTTGGCAAATATCTAAACAGATCCGTATTGAAAAAGAAATAGTGCGAAGGAAATACAAGTAGATTGGGTATACCCTTCGGAAGGACGGAAACGAAATAGTACATGTAGTCCTACAATGAAACCCCCAAGGTGCAAGAAACAGAAGATGCCGCAAGATGACATGGCGTAGAGGCGTTAATAATAATAAAAACAGTTAAAACATTTAATGAATTAAGACATATAGCTAGAAACCGAGATTTGTGGAAATTCTATGTAAATAGACTAAGTTCTTAATTTACTCCAAACTGATAAGATGCTAGAATATATCAATAATAATAGTAATAGATAACGCAACCATATAAATAGTTCTGAATTCGTTAGCTTTAAAAATTTTTGTATTAATTAATGTTAACATGAAATAGCCTAATTGGCATATCTAAGAAATTGTATCTCGTTTATCAGGACATAAATGAAAATTTAAGCTATATTTATTTACATTAAAAATCTAACAAAAATAAAATGCCAATACTAGTGATAGTACCGAGAGGTCGTTGAGCAGTGAAAACGTATGCTTAAGAAGCGGTATCCTCTTCAACCAGAAATGCAGAAGCTGCAAGGAAGAAAAGAAAATTAAAACAACTGACTACTTCTTTTATTATATATAGTCTAGGGAACCCGTCAGATGTTGTCCTGCATGATATACTAAGCGATTAGGATATTAAACAAAGTAAGAAATGAGAGACAAATAATGTAATAATTTTTTTATTCTTTATTTTGAAATAACATCAATTTTTCTAAAATCAATTCGTAATAATTAATAATGTTTGTTAAATTTCGTCCTAATGCAAGTTGATGAACAATATTTTTTTAGTCAATTCTTGAGGAGTATAAATGAATAATCTTGACGGTTTTCCAACGCGAGAACACGCCACATATAATTGGCCATGTGAAAAAACCTGATTTTTTAGATCTATCCCACAAATCGACATTGTTTGACCTTGTGACTTATTAATAGTAATAGCAAATGCCAAGCGAATTGGAAATTGCAGCCGTCTGAATGGAATGGGTGAATCTGAAGGGATCATTGGGACTCGTGGCAGCAGAACAGCTTCACCTTCAAATTTGCCATTCTAAATTGTAGCTTCAAGTACATTGCTCATAATTTTTTTTATGACTAATCTCGTACCGTTGCCGTTAGGTGCATTTAAATTCCGAAGCATAATTATAGGTGAGCCAATTTTTAATCTTAACTTATGCGGTGGCATTCCTGGCAAATCCAGCGAATTCAAAAATTCAACAGGATAGTTGAACGATACATTTTAGAGATTTTGAACTTTTTAAACAAATCAAAGTAAGCATGAATAAATTTTAAGTGTCTAATATAAATGTATATGGATACCAAAAAACTGTATAATAATTAAAAAAACATTATCCAGTGGACCAAATTGTGAATCTAAACTATCATTGAATCCACTTCAACACACACAAAAAATTTCATCAAAATCAGTTCAGCCGTTTAGGAGGAGTTCACTGTCAACACACCTGCAATAGAATTATATATATAAAGATATATAAATATATATTTAAATAAATATTTAAATATTTATTTATGTATTTATAAATATATATTTATATATATGAAAAATATTTTCTATCAAACGCACAGTTTGTATTTAAAACTTCGAATTTTATATCCGGGAATATTTTAATAAAAGGGCTCATAACGCCACTTGAACAAAAGTGAAAGCTCTGCCGCCACCAAAAACAACCAACCAATCAACCCATGTTTTGTTATCATAAATTCACTAAGGAGTCTATGGACTCATTAATTCTTTCTATTAGTTTCTCTTATTGAATTTTACTTTGTATGACGGTATGAAAACTATAATTTATCGATGTGCTGGACATTTTTAATACCGCTCCTAACTTTACCAACATTACTTGTAAGCGCTTGAATTTGTTGATTAACACTCAACTTCTAAGCACTGGCATGTAAAATATGTATGAAGGAATGATCATGAAATATATAATATTGATAATTGTGAAATTGTTTGTATCCGAATTAGGAGTTCATTGATACCTTAGCCAATTGTGCTTAATTTGTACAAAAGAGCCCGCATATTCGAACCCGATGCTACAATCGCTAATCTTCTTTTATTACGGCCTTTGTTTTATGCGCTATAATTTCACAAAAATTACTACCACAAATTGAAGGATCAATTTTATAGTCCCAAAATAGCTTCACACGAGCGTGTGTGTATAAAATCCGAGTTTATCGATATTCTCCATGCGATCTGGCAGATACAGCTCAGATACAGCTCAACCCTGCAGACAAGTCTTTCGTGTACTGTACGAGTATTTTTACATTGAATTGCTGTCATCTATAAAAAAATTTATATAGTTTATTTTATGTCTTTTCAATGCAGTTATGTTTTTATTTTTTATGCATTTTTCTTTATTGTGTTTGCTATTATTCTAGGGGTACTCATTTGTATTTGGTAATTTTATTATATGACTTCTGTCCTCTTAGCTGCCGGATGTAGTAGCTGATTTCTTCAGTATAAATTTGTGACTTCCCCTTTAAGATTGATTGGTGGCAGCGACTGAGGCGCGCTATCAATTTTCTTTATAATCTTATTTTATTGCAACATATTCGTCCGTATAGACGATCAAGAGCGTCTATTAAGTAACAGATAAGTTTATTGCATGCGCGGTATGTGCCCGCGCCTCGCAACATTTCATAATTTATGACTGCAACATTCCGTGTAAGTGCGTAGGCGGCAATCGTTTGTTAATTAAATCGCACAGGATGTTATCGATCACTGAGTAAATTAACATTCGATTTAAATATTATCGATGAGGTTTATTCATTTTTCTCAATTGCCACAATTATTGTTTGTAATGAGATATTTCGTTTTATATAGCTTGATCCGCTCCTTATTTAATTTATTGTTTTCATTTTAATCAGTTGTTTTCTTTATGAATATGAAAATAACAGAAAATTGTGTAAATATTAACATGAAATTTATGAATAAAAAAAGCAGAGCTTGTTATTGATATATTATTAATCGTTCATTATTATATAGTAAAATTTTCTGAATTTCGATAGCTTCTTCACTTCTTCAAATACTAGTTAAAGTACACACTTGTATTGGTATCCGCCAAATATGTATTTTTATATGTATTTTTGATAATTGGACTTTTACTGTTTACTGACTGTATAAGTTTGTATTCTTGTAACCAAAGTAATCAATGCTTCAATAATTTCTTCATTGTTTAATAATAAGTACTTTATTTTCACCAAAATCATTCTTTCGTTTTTGAAGGTATATTTCACTATATTGCCTATAATGTTGTTTTGAACGTACTAGGTATGTACAATCGTCAACCAACTGATTGGACTATCAGGTGTATTATCAGTGTGGCTTCAGACCTGGCAAATCCACCTTAAACTAGATATTCACAGTGCGTCAAATCGTGAAGGAAACCCAAATAGACATCATCTATTTGTCTATTTCAAAGCTGCTTTTGACACTACGTCTAAATTTGGTACCCCAGTAAAACTTATACGACTATGTAAAATGAAGTTAAGCAATACCACCAGCACAGATGGAATTGGAAAAAACCTGTTCGATACCAAACGAGGTTTCAGACAAAGTGACTATTTTTTTTTTTTTTTTGTTTTGCAGTAGGAAGCATCGAAAGCCACCGTGTGGGACTTTAACCTACTAAACCACCTCTAAGGAATGAAAGGCGAAGATTTTCACGGCAACAAGGAAACTTCATTCCAGTAGACGAAGGAGAGAGAAGAAAGAGAAAAGAGAGAGAAGAGACCTAACACCTAGCAAGCTAGGTTCATCTAAGTCAGAAATCTTAAGCCTAAAATGAGGAAAATTGGTAGTAGTGAAGGGGTACTTGTATGGTTTTGCATTCTAAAGTTAAAAAAGGATAATTTGAGCAACAAATTTGAACCGAACTGGCACAATATTTTACAAAAGTGTAATGTTGCTTGCTTGATATTATTGAAAATGTTACTCCTCTCCTCGAAAATGTTACACCTCGTTTGAAAAACAAACGAAAACAAATGTTACTCCTCTTATGTTAAATAAGGAGTAAAACATAGTACTTTCTGTCAACAAGCAAATATCTTGAGTATATTGGAACCCACCTTACTCTTGACAATTATAATTTCGAAGTTGTGAAAGACTTCATTTATTTGGGAATCACCAAAAATGACGTAAGCGAAGAGATTCAACGAAAAATCACTTTTGCCAACAGATGTTACTTTGGGCAAAGTAGGCGCTCTCTCGACAAGTCTCTTATCATGCTTGTCGTGATGTATGGTGCAGAAGCTTGGATAATTACCACCACTGATGGGAAGGCATTAGGAGCATACAAGAGTAAATGGCTTCGGAAGATCTATTGTCTCTTACATTGCGACACTGACATTGTTGAACGCATAAAAATTCAGCTGCTTCGATGGTTTGTAGTGCTCGGTTGTACCAGCTGGCAACAGCAAACTACTGATGAAACTGGCTATCAGGGGCTACACTTTCAAGTACATATTGCCTTTGAATCATCATTAACAAGAGTGAAAACTATGATCATGGACATATCCAACCAATCTTGCTGATAGAGCAATTCCG